AATAAGGCCTTTATTAACACCATATTGTTTTAAAAATACTTTTACAGTTCATTGCACAATACGAGCTTGGTAACTACCAGAATACAGCAAAACAATTTTTGGTATTTATTGCATAAGAATGAGTAGCACATATTGTTCCATTACAGTGCCAAATTAAAAAGTTAAAAATACTAGGCCAAATCCTAAGGCTTTTAGCTCAGTGTTAGATTCTATTTTCCTTAATGAAGCAGACTTACTCAAGATAAGTAACATTGCTAAGACATAATCTTTACAGTTCACTCATGGCACAGACTCCTACTGCTTTTCCTATCCCTAAAGGCTAACTTCCTTGTGACACAACAATGATATATGACTCACTTTATTCCTATCACTGGAGTTACAGGGAACTTGCTCACATACAAAAGAGAAGGCAGCCAGATATTCAAGTACTGTTTATTTAATGACAGCTCTAAAAGGACTCCCTGAATTATGAGCAGAAACTCAGAGTAGAGACTTAATGCTTATTTGCTCAAAAGAAAAACCCTCAGAAGACATTTAGTTTTAGAACTCCAAAAAATAACAGGAATCATCTATGCTTTTTATGATCTGACTAGCTATTACCTCTGTGCCAATCCCAACAGCTGTGACTAGCGTTATGGTAATTCCTCCTCCTTAAACACTATGGAGCTCCATAGGATTACAAACAGGAGTGCTTGGGAGGAACAAATGCAGGGTCTGCAGCTCTACTATGATTTTATGTGGGTTTGAATCTCCTGCATGCAGATATCCCTCCTGCTTGTACTGCATATGAGAGATACCGTATCTGAGAAAGCCTGCATCAGTTCGAAGGTTCTGGGGAAGCTAAATGGCCATCTAATACTACTGACATTCAGATAACATAGGGAATTTTTTCTCCACTGTACCTTGTTCCCCTACAAATTGCACAATTTAAAATGTCAGGACAGTTGTTTCACTTTTCCATGCTATTCAGATTCTTGGATGTGCAATTGCCTGGATGGGCATCTTAGTTAATAACTTAGAAAAACATCAGTCCACCCTGCTATCTCTATATGCCACAGTCAGCATCCAATATGTCTACATTTCTGAAGCATGATACGAAACATGTTTCTTTCTAATAATTTGGGCTTCTAAAAGTTCTTGTAAGTTTTGTATATAAATATACAGAGGACATACTGCATTGATTTCCATGGGATTTGTCTTAGGCAGCCCTGAAAGCCAGGATATTAATGATCTGTATAACAATCAGAAAATACCAAAGCATAATATTGTATCATATAAAACAGCTGAAGAGATGATAGAATGCAATGAGGGCCATTGTAGCAGAACACAGTGTTCCTTTCTCTGGGCCTTGTTCCCATTTAGGATTTAGAAATACTAGAGGGATGTCATGGTTTAAGCCTAGAGGGCAACTGATCACCACATTGCCACTCACTCATACCCCCTGGTGGGATGGGGAGGAGAAATAAAATGAAAGGCTGGGAGATTAAGACAAGGACAGGGAGGGATGACTCACCCATTATAGTTCACAGGTAAAATACAGATTTGACTGGGGAATAAATAACATCAATTTAATTCAGTCACCACCACCACTACCACTAATTTACAAATCAGAGTGGGACAATGAGAAATACAACCACACCTTAAAAAGACCTTCCCCTTATCCCTCCTTCTTCCCTGGCTCACTTCTGCTCCCTATTTCTCTACCTCTTCTCTGCCAGTGGTGCAGGGGGGGCAGGGGATGGGGGTCACTTCATCACCCGTTGTTTCTGCAGCTCCTTCCTCCTCAGAAGGAGGACTACTCACACTTTTTCCCTACTCCAGTATGGGGCTTCTCTCATGGGAGAAAGCCTTCTGTGAACTTCTCTGACATGAATCCTTCCCCCAGGCTGCAGTTCTTCACAAGCTGCTCCAATGTGAGTTCCTTCCGCAGGTTTCAATCCTCCAAGCAACAAACTACTCCAGCATGGGCGTCCCTTAGAGTCCCAACCTTCTTCAGGTGCAGCCACCTGCTCCAGCGCAAGGTCCTCCACAGGCAGCAGGTGGGCATCTGCTCCACTGTGGACCTCCATGGGCTGCAGGAGAATCTCTACTCCAGCATACCACCCCTTGGTGTTTGCACAGGTATTTCCCTCACTCGTCCTCCTCCTCCTCTCAGGTTCCCATTCTTAAATATGTTATTACAGAGGCATGGCCACCATCACTAATTGGCTTGGTCTTGGCCAGAGGCAGGTCTGACCTGGAGCTGGGGGAGCTTCTAGAAGCTTCTTACAGGAGCCATCCCTGTAGCCCCTGCCCAGCTACCTAAACCCTGCCACACACAAACCCAATACAAGGAAGTTTAGGAGAGAATAAAAGTAAAATAAACTCTCAGGGTCAGATCTGTGACTTAGAAGTACACATTAAACTCTAAGTCCACACTATGCACACTAATAACCAATATATGTGCACAAAGTATTTAATTCCCACTCTTGGTAACAGATTATTTTAAAAGCCTGGTAGTTAAAAATATGAACAAGCAAATGTCAAAAATATTTATGTAAGTGAAACTATGTTGGACAAGAGACACAGTTAGACAGCTTCCATGGCCTATAAATATTGGATGGGGCTTGAAATATTTATACTGTCTTATTTTCTATGACAATAATGAGATTGCTTTAAAAAGATTTTTAGTTACTTTAATCAGATAAAGTTTATGACAGTAAAAAATACAAAAGTTGAAGAAAGGCAAAAAATGCTGATTTGATGGTATTGAAAGGTAGTAGGATGGAATAGTTCCAGTTGAAAGGGACTATCTAGTTCAGATGCCTGACCACACCAGGGCTGGCCAAAATTTAAGCCTGTTAGGAAGGGCATTGTCCAAATACCAATTTTTAGGGCACTGACAGGCATGGAACATCAACCACCTCTCTAAGAAGCCTGTTCCAGTGTTTGACCACCCTCTCAGTAAAGAAAGGCTTCCTAATGTCAAGTTCCCTGATGCAGCTTTGAACCATCCCCACTGGTCCTGTTGCTGGATCTCAGGATGAAGACACCAGCACCTCCCTCTTGCCCTCCTCAGGAACCTGTAGAGAGCAATGAGGTCACCCCTCAGCATCCTTGCCTCCAAACTAGACAAACCCAGTGTCCATCTGCTGAGCATCTGCCACTGATGGGTCCTTTCCAAGCGGAGGAGAAGAAATGCCAGCACCCAAGCCGGATCTGGCAGAGCGGGAAGAAAGCCTGTGCCTGAGGGCAGCAGCACGGCCATCTTTCCCTGGCTGCTTTCCAGCCGGGCAGCCCACTGCATGTGCTGGTGCCTGGCACTGTCCCTCCCCAGGTGCAGGGCGTTGCGCTTCCCCTTGAGCTTCTTGGGGCTCCTGCCTTGGCGGGGTATGACCCTAGGCTGATGCGGAGAGCAGCACCGAGTCGTGATTCCACGCAGGAGGAGGGATTTGGGCGCCCCTGCAGCATGGCTGCACCCAGCAGTGACAGCAGGCTGGTAGGAGAGCAGAGCCCACCCGCGACGCGGGGGCAGAGGG